ACATAGAATTTTTTGTCATGCGTGTGGATGGGATTTAATTTTTATTGTAACACGAGGTCATAGGCATTGCAGCGTAAATGCTGGACATTTTAAGGTGTGTATTCGAAATATTAATTGTGTAACGACTGTCGTAACGTTGAATAGCATGATTTCTTTGTGGCAGAATAACCAATGGCAAACCCTAAGCAAAACACTATAATACAAATTGAGGATAATAATAGCGGACCCGACAGACGTTTTCTTGCATACACCAAATGAATGAATGAATGCATACACAAAAATTCATTCAAGTCGAACCAGCTGTTTAGTTGCAGTGTAGATAAATAACCTAGATACCGACTGCAGCGCCATTTGCCGGGCTGATTTGTAAATTGAAATCAGTCTCAAATCCACCTGATGGTACACAGAAAATTTCATTAAAATCGGTCCAGCCTTTTAGGAGGAGTTCAGTGACAAACACACGCACAGAAGAATTATATATGTAACCTCTATATGATTTATGACATAAAGAGGTTAAGTGACATAAATGTTAATTTGAATATTGAAACATTAGAAGAAGGAACGTAAGAAATATAAAAACATTTTGAATTGTAAAATATATAAAAAAAAACATAAAAACTGGTGAAGCAATAGCTTTAAATGTTGTTCCTCTTTATAGAGCAACTCAATTTGTGCCATAGTTTTACCCTAGTAAACTTTATTTTTATGTGAATAAAATAATAAAATAAAAAAAGATTTATCGGAATCGTAATTATTTAGTTTGTCTGAATGCGCATGCTACCTTATGTTAATAATACTGGCATTACAAAAGCACGTTAAGGAACCGCCAATTCAATGAACGAGAATACAGTTACGTTACATCCATCGATTATTTAAAAAATAAAATTTATATAATCAAATATGCTCTATTACGTTGTGTATTAATTGTATGTATATTTACGGATATATGTGTGTATGTATGTGTACATATATGTATATATATGTATATGTATTTCACTGGATTAGTACACCGCGCGTAGTTTGTTTCCAAATGATTCTTGTCCACCTGATGGTTGTCTGGAAAAGATCGCTCTTAGCGATAAGACCGCCAATTGTACTTTTTTGTATTTAATGTATCGCACTGTTTATTTGTTTTTTGGTGTACAATAAAGATTACTCTCTCTCTCTCTCTCTCTCTCTCTCTCTCTCTATTGTTGACAATCGAAATTTAACTAATTTAACAAACATTGTAATACAATAATTAAAATTAACTTAGAATCGAATTTCCGATGGCAATTGAGTAAGGAAGTAATGGAATACTTGGAATACTTATATGAAACGTAAGATAAAGTACAAATGGGCGCTGTTTTTCCTGCGGTTCCATAAAAAGGGTCTCCACCAGTTAACTGTCATTTAAAACATTATTTTTATCACACAAGTAAGAATAGTATAGTAATTCAATTGAACACACATATCTGTGTCTAGACTGTGAGGGTAGAGGTAAGGAGAACCGTCTCTGTGTGTATAGTGTCCGTTAAAATCTGCTAAATAAGGGTGGCGCTACAGTAGCAACCGGGTAAATTTAAAAAAAGGCGCTGAAAGTTATAAGAATAAAATAGAGAAATAAAAAAGAACGAAAGAACTGTAAGCACTACAAAATCACAAAAAGTATTTTATTTAAAGCTGATAATGCACCACAGCAATATAATTTTAGGTTATATTGACGCAATTAGTTTGAACTACGTAAACATGTGAGGTCTTGTATATTACACTGTCACTAACTACTCTACTCATTAAATATATTAAAGTTCCTAACTCAGCATACTTCAATCAGTTAACAACTGCTCAATTCATATCATACCTATGCTAGCGCCATTGTGGAGGATTTTTGAACTGGTATTTAGTGCCGAATGTGGGACACTTTTTCAAGCTTCTCCCATATGAGACGGTTGTCCTTGCCTCTACCCTCCGTCTAGACATTCCAACCACAAGCAAACTTACCAGGGTAAATTGGCATTTCCACAGATTCATAATACACTCTTGACAAAGACACACTTCAGATTTGACAGCTGTCAAAATAGCACACAAACATCAAAAGCGGGAACGCTGACATGCGATGCCCGATGACAGCGATGAGGACGGAGCAATCGCAAGATCTAGTAAAATAAAGTACGGCAATAAACAAATAAAATATTTAGTACTTTAAATTACTAAAGCCCGAGAAAGCTCTTTTCTTGGTGACGGCTTCTGAGTGACTTCAGATCTTCGACATTGAAAGCGGGACGGTTGATGATGATTAAGAGCAGTTCTGTTTACATTCACTTCTACAAGCTATGAATTTGAATCACAAATTAATTAAGTAACAATTTTTAACAGAAATCTCCAAACGCTTGAAGGAGGCTACACGTGATGCTAAGGCTGGCTGGCACTTTGCCCAGAGAGTGAGTCTGGCTGTCCAACGAGGCAACGTAGCCAGTATATAGGGAACTGTGCCTCCTTCAAGCGCATTGGAAGATTTGTTCTACTGTGTGAGTTGATTTATGTTAAATTATTTTGATTTGTTATATTGTAAAATAAAAATAAAATAAAAAACCGAAATAAAGTCACAATTAATTTTATTATAACTGGGCTTCTGTAAATAATAAATATCGAGGGGTATCGAGGCTATTTGGTTTAAGCAAAAAAAATTTCAACTTTATAGGAGATTCATTTAAAGTATAAAATTTGGAAAAATTATCTTAACAAAAAACCTTTTTTAGTTATTTTAATGGAGTAAATTTAATTGAAGTTCATTTAAAAAACATCGAACTGTTGATGCTAATACCATATGTATAAAAATGAATTGCTGTTCGTTAGTCTCGTTAAAATTCGAGAACGGCTGGACCGATTTGGCTAGTTTTGGTATTTGTGGAAGTCCAGAGAAGGTTTAAAAGGTAGATAAATATGAAAATGCTCGGAATTAAATAAAAATAACAATTTTGTTTTTCCTTTGATGTGTCCCCCGTCGGACGGATTCCTTTTGTTTGTTTTAAGTTTATTTTATCTAAAAGTTTAGGTCTTTTATTTATTGATTGAGGCACTACGAAGTCTGCCGGGTCAGCTAGTACCAAATAAAACGAACCTTTAATTACAAAGATAAATGTAGCGTATTAAGCGAAATGTCGCTCAAACCAAATATGTAATAGCTTTTCACCCCTGGATAAAGTGCATACATATCGACGCTTGAAAGGCAAACGTGACTAAGCGACAATAACTGCTTTGTACAAAAATGATAGGCAATGACCATATTCGATGCGCAAAAAAAAAATATATTTCTAGGTCTATTAAAATCATTTCAATCCTACAGCTACTAGGTAGATTCTACTACAGCTGGATTCGACAAAATAAATTTTGTTTTCAGGTATTTCAACTTTAAATTAGTCTAGTGTAAAGTTCACGCATTGTCGCTTAGTCACGTTTGCCTTTCAAGCGTCGATATGTATCGTCAATTCCAACATATAAGACCGGTATATTACTTAAAGTTGTTATAAAATAATAATATATTTACTGGTAATATGTGCATATTAAATGATTGCAAGTAATGTTGGAAAAATATTGCATTTCAATCGCTCAACAAAATTTTTTTTATTTTTTTTTTTATTTATTTATTTATGTACACACAGAAAAGATGACATAGAGAGTAATAGGAAAATTATGTACAAAGGCGCTGCTTATTTCTTTAAGAAATCTCTACCAGCAGACCTGCGAGAGGATTATGAGAATAATAATTAAAAGTGATGAGTGTGTGTAAAACAAATAACACATAACTAAAATAACAAATACAACATGAGAATTATATTATTTACTAAGTGAATTTTGTTTTCTGTTTAAATTAAGATTGTGGATTAAACTCTATATGGCTTCGCAAACGGTTACCTAATACCCCGTATATTTTAAGTGTGATCTTATTCGTGAGAAATTCCTGAAACACATCAAACGAACGCTTTTGTCTGCTTACCTTTGATCTCGACTCATCCACGGAAGTGGCGAAGGCTTTAAAATATTCGGGATTGTGCGGCTAACACGTGGTTACATGGTAAATACTTGGCGTGCCAAAGTGAGTTCGGTGCCAGTACCTTTTGCCAGTTTTGGCGGAAACACGCTATTATTCACAGCGCGAACTCGGACATAGTTGATTTGTGTGCGGTAATATAACTTCGCCATTACATAATTTATTTGAAGGAATAATTTACTATTTTAATAATAATGTTAGCAAATCAAAATCTTGTTTTCGTTGGACTTACATATCAGATTTAACGTAGTCTAATAAGTTAGGTGATTCATTGTTACAACACACGATTATCTATATATTAATACGTGAAGTAAAAACTTTGTATCCGTTTTTACGAAAATTGCGCGGACGGAGGAGTATGAAATATCCCACACTTATAGAGAATATAGAGAAGGAGTGCAAAATCTTAATATTTAAAAAAATTATGCATAAAAAATACATTGAACCAATAAAAAAAAACATTACACACACTACTATGTATTTGACACACACACGCATGCATACTATATTTTTATTGTCAAACTTTTCTTAGCTGTGGTCAAATTGAGAATGGATTAAATATTGTTTGTCTTTATTAATATTTGCTTGTTTACACTACATAAAGTGTAATCTTGGCGAAATCTGTGAATAAAGAATTATAATAATCTTTGACAATAGAACCTTTTTAATGTTCAAACTTATAATTTCAATTAATTATAGTCGAATATCGACTACTGCGGGACCACTAGTTATTTATTTATTTATTTATTACACTTCATGTAAAATTTACATTGGCGGACTTAATGCCTAAGGCATTCTCTACAAGTCAACCAAAGGTAGTGCAGAGTGGATAGTGGTAGGTGCAATGAAATTTATATTAAGTTACAAAAAGTATATACATACACATATACATACACATACATACACACATACATGTATACATAAAGTATAGTATATTGTGTATTTAGTGTGAGCGAAGCAGCGTGCGTACCTAACTCACCATCGTGCATCGGATCGATGGTGTGTATCATGAGCTGCAGAAGACCGTGGCGGAACTTGGCGGCTGGCGGCGGCGGCTTACTGGGCCCTGGCATCGGTCCGGTCGCTGCCGACGTGCCCACCGATGTTTCGCTCGACGTCGTTGCGTTGCCGTGCTGTTTATAAATGAACTGTGGTTAGATTTTGAACTTCGACGGTATTTACAAATCGTTTTTTTTTTCGAGGCCTAAGCTAGTAGAACGACACATACGCATCCGCGTCGAAGACGTTTGGCCAAAGATTTTACTCAACGTAGGGAGTACTGAAATAGGTCTATAGTTAGAGGGGTCATCAGTACTACCAGATTTAAAAAGAGGAATCACTTTACTATGTTTCATTAAGTCAGGAAATACACCACACTTAATACAATCATTAAAAATACTAACAAGATGAGAAGCAATAATGTCTATTACAGACTTCAAAACCTTTACTGATATTCCCCACAAGTCAGCTGTATTTTTTACATTAAGGCTATGAAAACTTTTTATTATATGGCTTGAATTAATTTTCTTAAATTTAAAAATTTCATTACATTTGTTGACATGGTATGCAATAATATTTCAGCTGCTGTGGGGGATGAATTTAGAGAAGTGGTAGTTGAAAGTGGAATGTCAGAGAAAAACTTTTCAAAAGCATTAGCCACATCTTCATGACTAGTTACCAATTTATCGTCTATTTTTAATGTGAATTCTTGATGGCTATTTCTGACTTTTCTACTTTCTCTACCAATGATGTTCCAAGTCATCTTTATCTTGTCAGGGGCATTTTTTATTAAATCACTTAAATGTAAAGATTTTGCCGCTAAACAAACTTTTCTAAATAGTTTTGAATAGTTCCTGACATATTGATGAAATGTTTCATCATTATTATAAACTTTTTCAGAGTACAGATCATACACATTTTTTTTTACTTTTGTACACTCCGGTGGTGGCCCACTCGCTGAACACCGTTTTGTTTTCTAATGTTACAGTTTTAGGAATAAATACATCAGTAAAGACCAAATTAATTCTCTCAAACATATTCTGGTATGATAAATTTGGGTTTTGGTTATAAATAATTTCTGAATGTTCTTGCTTAATATTATTTCTAAACTTCTCAATTCGTTTTTTATTAATATGAACAATCACAAGAGTATTTTTATCTTTAGAATTCATAATAGATTCAAAAGACACAAATTGTCCACTATGGTCTGATGTTAATTGATTAATAATTTTTTTGTTAATCGGTGTTACATTTGTAAATATGTTATCTAAACATGTTGCCGATGTTGTTGTTGTCCTAGTAGGCTCTAGAAATAAGTTTGGGAGGTTATATGACTTTAACTCCTAAGCTCCTAATATTATTCAAAAATATTTTTTCATTCTATGTAAATGAAGTCGCGGATAAAATTCAGCGTTATGCCAAAGTAACTATTCCACGCGGACGAAGTCGCGGGCAAAAGCTAGTTTTAAAAAATAATGGTAGTCGCCTGCGGGATTTGAACGCTAGTCGTATCGATCGATACGAGTGCACCTAGCGTCTTATCCCTAAGGCCACGATGACTTCTAATTAACATTTATTTATAACTTTTATTTCATTGGTACAGAAATAGCGTAATAATAGTGTTCCAAGAAAATTTTTGTTCTTATTATTTTGCTTATTTTTTTCTAACTGTTCTAGTAACCTCAAGGGGTTATTCTAGATTCACCGAACTAATAGGTGAGCGCAAACCTGACGTTGTCGCTAACACGAACCCTAGCAAGAGTCGTGTTTCGCAGAGTCTATACCACCGGATCGGAAACGCGACCCACTGAGAAGATCCGGCGAGAAATTCAGTGGGCTAAAAAAATGAGAGACAATACAAACTGAAAATCGCTAAGTGCTTAGTTTTTTTATCGAAACTTCTTAGTTCCAAAATGAAAAAAAAAAACGATCAAATATTATGGTAATTAGAATTTTCGTAATATTTTTCATTCGACAAATACGCGATCCCGTCCCTAATTAAGCGAAACGGGCGGGCAATCGAAGGGCACTCTCTGACACGCTTCGCGAAATCACTTCAAAAGCAATCATGTCCATCGCGAAGGCACGTACTGAGGACGAAAATATTTACAAAATTCGTACATATTTTCAATTGCCGACAAATGAATTTACTGGTGGTGGGACCTCTTGCGAGTCCGCGCGGGTAGGCACCACCACCCCGCTTATTTCTGCCGTGAAGCAATAATGCGTTTCGGTTTGAAGGGTGGGGCAGCCGTTGTAACTATACTTGAGACCTTAGAACTTATAACTTAAGGTGGCATCTAAGCAAAAAAAATATTTTCAAGTAAGCATTGCGACAATCATAAATATTATTTCGTAATTCCGTCATCATACTGTTATTAGCAGCTTCTGAGAAAGCTGTTACGCATTCCTTGGACAGCTATGAGAACCAATGTCTCCATCCTCGAAGAGCTGAAGGTCACCAAGCGCCTGTTGACTACGTGCCAGGAAAGGATCCGGAGTTTCTCTGGGCACATAATGCGATCCAGATTGCACAGCCTGGAGAAACTCATCATTCTCGGACAAATGGAGGGGAAGCGCGCTAGAAGAAGAGCGCCAGCTAGATGGGTGGACCAACTCAAGGAGGTGACTGGAGGCCAGATACAGGGAGCGGTACATATGGCGTAGAACCGGACCGTGTGGAAAAAATTGACATACAGTCACGATCCTCAGCATTGAGAGAACGACCCGAAAAGAAAAGAACTGTTATTAAGCTCGCTGCTTTTAGTGTTCGGTGAAGGAACTACTCATCATCACCATCAGCCCACAGTCGTCTTCCGGGACGTCCTCCTGGACTCCTGGACATAGGCCTTTCCCAATCCACACCACTGAGCCCGGCCTTCGGTTCTCTACACCCATCTTTTACCGGCCACGTTTCGGAGGTCATCGCACCACCTAGCCAAGGGGCGTCCCAAGTTACATTTTCCGCTGTACGGTCGAGAATCCGTCTACTCCAGCGAACGTCGGTTTTAATTCAAGAAACCACTCGCTACTTCCTGATTCCGTCCCTGTTCAGACTGATGGGAAACACTCGTGAAACGTGCAAACCAATAACTCAACACCTCTATAGCAGGCCGCACTTATTGGACGTAATTTGCTTTACGAGTTCGGAAACGAAGCGATTTCGAATTTTTACGTAATAAGAGTATTTCGCATTCGCTAATTTTGACGGAATTTAATGTTGCTTGTTTTTTTTTGTTGACACAATCAGTTTAGTTGTGAGTGGTCACCGCAACCAAGTCAATGCCGAATGAAAATAAGGATCGATTAAAATCTCTTTTTAGGTTTTGCCTGCAAAAAATCTTATTAACTTGTTTATGAACATTCAAGTGAATTGATGTATCTTACAAGCCTCAACATGTAATCGTAAGATATTTATTGTGTTGTAAATTCGTTATTCCTATGTGTTATTTTGTAAAGAAAACAGATTTCCATTGTAGTTATTTTATTTTCGTTTCATGACTTTATATCTTAACATATATAATTCTTCAGTCCGTATGTATGTTACTCGACGTATTTCTGGCGGTGGTGTCTTCCTAAGCCGCTGAACCGATTTTGATGAATTTTTAAGCTATTGCATAGCTTTTATCGCGGGCTGTGAGCGCGGCCACCGAATCAAGAAATTCCGTAACGAAAATAAAACCTAACCATAAATCATGGAAAGTCTGCCCATCTCTCTCTCGGGCGGTCTAGCCTAAGAGTGTTACAGTTAATGTTTTGCTTTTGTTTTATAAATATAGCGTGGTATTATTTTATTACTGTTTTTAATTTTAAATTATTGTTGTCTTATTATAATTGTATAAGTTGATAAAAAATGCTATTTGCCTTTGTTATGTTTTTGTAAAAAAAAACGTATTTAGGCCAGGAAGTCTATCAGGTCCGCTAGTTTTGTGTATAGTAATAATAATAATTTCATTTTATTGCGTTTGTGTGGAATGTGCGTGTAATAACCGGCAATTTGTTGACTTATCATTTCAATCGGACATTAGGAAGCGATTAGGGCCACCATGAATACAGTTCGCGGCAGTTTAATATTTAATGATCTTTATAGGAGCATTAGCTTCTTAAAGAGGATAATTTTAGGGTAACGCGATTATGTATTTCTCCTTTTTATATTTGGTTGAAACGTGCAGTACAGATCACGGCTCATCTAGTATTGGGTTGTTATAGGAAATTAAAGCCTAACTTGAAGGCAGTCACCCTTGAGATATGAGGTTGGAATATATTGTATTGCTGCTTCGTCTATCAAACCGGTACGCATGAGTACTTCATCTCCGAGATACGTTAGCTGGTGATAATCACTAGTGCGTACCTCATAATACGCACGAGTAAAAATGCAAATTTAGAAAATTTTGAATATTTTGTTTTTTATGGACGTAACAAACTTATTTGAGGTTCGTATTTCTTTGTGAAAATTGGTACCCGCCTGTCAAATACTAGAAGTCTACCGTTTTATAGAAGGTTTTTTGTTTTGAATCAGTCTCTTATATAGATTTTTTTTATTTGAAATATTTTTTTTGAATTAGTCTCTTATATAGATTTTTTTTATTTGGAATATTTTTTGTCATTACAGTCCCTTTCCGATATTTAATAAAGTAAACAGTTTTAATTATAAAGAAAATTAAATGAAGACAGTTAGTTCTAAGTACAAAAATTGTCTAGAAAACTTTACTTTACTTTACCAACTTCTTCATATGAGACATCGCATGATATAAATTAAACGACAAATCAAACCACACATAACGCGCAACCTTTAACCACATATGACGTCAGATGTTGCTTCCAATTTGAAGAGTTGTTAAAGCACTGCACACTTGTTACTTGATTTCATATATCAACATGCATTTCGTTCACAGTGTCATTCAGACCTGATTGACCTCAATCAGTTGTCTATGCAATAAAAATTATACCCAGCTGATACTTTTGGTCCAACTGTGGCGGGTAGCCATCACAGAATACAAGATATTTGACAGATGCCAGAATCTCGCTTACGACATTTTCAAGATAAACTTGTATATATATGTATTGTATTGTATATATACAAGATCCGAACAACATTCGAACCGCCGGTCTACCGAGCAATATCACCCGGTCG